TGATGGTCATTTCCTAAAAGTACGCAATTTTTAGAGAATTTTCGTTAAAACCGCAACTTCATAGCTCAATTTTAACGCCACTTACGGAATTTGCCTGTTTTCAACTTGGCAACGCTGTAGCGCGCGGGAAAAATTTCGGGTGAACTTGCCAACGCCGGAAAAAGGCGTGTCTTGTGATAGGGAACAACATATCCAACTCCGGGCAAAATCCAAGAGGGGGGTAAAATCGCCGATTTTGTATAACCCTCTTTATTCATCGTTATAAGAAAAAGAAATTAAGAATTGAAAAAACGAGCTTTCTTCAAAAATATTCATCATATACCGAAAAAAAAAAGAAGGGAGATCTGTATTGTCACTGACTGGACCATTTGTTGCCCAGTTCGGGTTATTCCATGCCAAATCAGACCAGTGATCTAGCCAGATCCCTTCAGCGTTGGATGAAATTTGGCTCGCTCCTTCTGTTTACTGAGCTGAGTTGAAAAATGTTAATTTTGAACTTTTTTATGCCGCTTTCAACTTTTGTTGAGCTTTAAAGTTCGGGAAAATTGACTGACATTATAACACTTTTAATAGTCTGTAACTTTAGAGCGGTCAATCTAGGCCAAACAGTTTTGGTATCAGTAGAAAACCCCTGTATTGCACTTCTTACTTATACTTAGCATCATTTGACGTAAGTTTAAATTTTTTCATTAAACAATTTTGATGTCAAAAATTGAAATATCTCGATTGAGGGTACATTAAAGTGTACGAAATTTTGACTGGAAGTTGGTATTGCCGTAAGAAATCCAGATGCAAACATTTAAAGTGGAGACTTGATGGAGTCAAAAGTTATGAGCGTAAACACTTCATTGTAAAAAATTAAAATTTATGTTTTTCATCTCAGCTCAGTAAAGAGAAGGAGTGTGCCAAATGTCATTAAATTCTGAAAGGGTCCGGTCAAAAAGTGCCAATTTTTGGTCGGATTTGACAAGGAATGACCCAGTTGTGTTCCAGTTGAGCATTGTTTAAATGTCAAGATTACATGTTAAAACTTTTCAATGGATAAATGTTGTGTCATTCATTCTGATAGTTTAAATTGCTCAAGTAAGGTCGTGGATTTTTTTTTTTTTTTTTTTTTTTTTTTTTTTGGCATCATTAGTAAAATCAGTCATTTTTGCTTTCTAATTTCTATGTAAAAGCAAACTATATCGACAGTGAAAGTCGGCAATCACATAACTCGGTTTGCGACGTCGCAGACTTCCTGTCATACTTTATTTTTTAAATGGAAAACTACTCAACGGCAATTCTTTAAAACTGTCATGATTTTTCTTCTTAATGCGAAGAAAATTCTGCAAAAACTTCAAGAAATAATATCAATTTGTTCTCCTTTAAAAAAATGACGTAGAGGCGGAGATTTTCAGACACCGCAAACGAGTTATGTGATTGCCGACTTTCACTGTCGATATGAAGATGCCATCATCACCTAAAATGTGCAGATATTTTTCATAGCTTTCCTTCTAGGTCATTTTTACTGACTTGTCTCTTGTATGTTTCGCAGTTAGTTTACTTTTGCTTCCGGGATTGGACGGTATTCTAACCATTGGTGTTCCTATCTACTCCTTCATTCTCGTGACCATGACATGGAGAGCAGTTGCGCAAGTTCAATTTAATGAGGTAAACAAAAATTGAGTATCATGAATGAGAAAGAATGAACCACTGGACAAGGTACGAATTTAAGCAATTTGAAACAAGTTTCTTAACCAGAATTTCACGTAAAACACGATTCGCACAACGAAAATTACTGAAACCAACTCCTAAAAAAGATATTAACGTTTTTATTTCACATTGGTTACGAGGAATTTGAACTGCCCGCTCATGAGAAACTCAAAGTTCTCTGTGGGTCAATGTGCGCACTACAATGGTTTCAGCAAGCTTCTCAATGGAGCAATGTTCATTTCCCACTATGTGTTGTTCAAACTAAAAGCAATTTGCTGTAGCTGAGCCAAAGCGTCAAAACTGAGATTGCCAGATTTTTATATCGCAGAGACTGTCATGATAATGTTTAGCATGCGATGTGAATCATGTAGAGCATTGAGTTTTAATGAGCAGGCGGTTTGAATTCACGCATCAGGAATCATTAAATATCTTCGTAAGGAGTTGATTTTGGTAATTTTTTATGTGCGCATCGTGTTTTATGTGAAAGTTTGGTTAAGAAACATGTATCAGAATGTTGAAATTCATACATTGTCTAGTGGTCCATTAATGCTTTCATTTTCCCGATCAAGTATTTCAGATTGCTGAACAAATTGCATCCATAAACAGATAGTTAGAGACTGAAAAGGTATTAAAAAAGTGACAAAATAATTTAAATATATACCAAGGAAATCCTCCAATAAACACCTACAACTTTTGATATCCTCATGTAACTAGAAGTGGAACAACGTGGAAGATCCTGCACAATTGTGACCTTGTCTCAAGTGTTACAATGTTTTTCCTCATTATTTCCGCCATCTCCTCATGTTTTGACCTTTTTCTTAGCAGAGTTGAAAATATGTTATTTTCCAAAAATTTTCTAAGTTCCCAATACCTACAGTTAAAAGGAATGATTCACTGCAAACTTCATATTTTACATAGGGTTTGTTTTTTTTTATTTTCCTCAGGACCTCTGGACTTGGGCAAAAGTATGTTCCTGCATTGGAGGAGTTTTATTTATGATCTCAGATCTCCTAATCGGTATTCATTATTTCTACAGGCCTATTCCATTTTCTCAGGTATGTATGAAATTGAATCAATACTGACTCAATATTTTTTTGCCAGTAAAAAACTTCATTTTCCTAGGCTTTCCTTGTTTACTTGAAAATAAATGCATCTTACACAAAATGAGCGATTATCTGGATTAATTGGAACCAAACCATTGCGAATAAAGAAAAATTCGGAATAATCAACAGAAAAAACAACACTCAATAACTTACAAATATTGATCAACTAGAAGTTATCACATGTATAAGGGGAGTACTTAACGTATCTTTAAAAAATGCGTTTCTCTATCCTAGTCGTGAAAAGATTCCTGAAATCTCAGAATGATAGAACATTTCAACCAAAGTAAGATGCCAATCGTCCAAAATTGGGATGTCCTGGTCAAATATACCACTTCTCACACTTGCCAAATTGATCTAGATACTCTAGAGTCTAGATGACACTGTATCCAGATATTCTGGAGAAAAAAAACACGAAAAAAATGTGGCTTGAAATGTATGTAACAAGATGGTAAAATAGTTCATTAGAGCTTAAAAATTTTTAACTTTTTTGCCTTGCTTTCCCTGCTAAATAGTGTGAATCTAGCACTATTTTACCACCTTGATATTAAAGAGTTTAGTTATCCATGCATTTCAAAATAAATGGTAAATTTTTATGTTATCATTTTCTTCACACTACCTATTGGTGCATTGATTGAGCTCAAACTATTTATATGCCTGTCATAAATAACTTTCTCTCATAAAATATTTAAAACTCTCAACAGTCAGAAATAATTAACAGATTTCAATCAGACCAAAAGCAAAATTTTGGCAACTCAGAAGCACTATTATTGCCGGGAATAGATAAACACCTTCATCTACATAGTACACTCTCTTCCCCCATTTCAAAATGGCAAATAAGAACAGAATTGTACTGATATTTTTCTCATGGGCCCAAGTGCCGGAATCCAAGTTTCGAGAAGAACGAAAAAGAGTGCGCCTTTTGATATTTTGAGCCGTTTTCATAGGTATTTTTCAAACACTCACATTTTTTAGGCTAAAAGATTGAGCGCTTGCCGAATGGCATAGATTTCTCCATTTTCCTCGAAAATTAGATTTCGACGCTTGGGGACTAATGAAAAACATCAATTGATTGATAGATTCATTAAAACTCATGCCAAATTCTGTTCTTGTTTTTCAGGTGCTCATTATGTCGACTTACTATGTTGCTCAACTCGGGATAGCACTAAGTGTGGTTGACTCAAGAGCAGATGCTCCCGCACTGTTGGAGTCAAGCAAGCATGACTGAATTTTAATCTTCAAACTGTTCCCAAATCTCTTCCTTCTGTAGAAAATTCAATTCCAGCACATATTTCAAACCTCCAGTACACCAGTCCCCCTCAGGTTCTAGCTCCTTTAACAAAAGTAAACTTTATTCGTAATTCCTTGAATTACAGAAAGTACAATTTTTATTTTTTGATTTGTATCTTTCGACAGCGTGCCAAGTCTGAGCAAAATCTAAAAGAAACTAAATCCATCCAAGAGTGAAAATATCCATTTTGAGAAATTCATAGTTACCTATTTATTTATTTTGTGAGGTGATTTGAAAAATTTTCGCACTAGTTTATTTGACTGTTGTTGTTTCATGAAGGCTCTGGAAATGAGTAATCAATGTCAGAAAAGTACTATTTACTTTCAAATACTATCACCATCCAGAAAACAGCCATTTTCTCATTTTAACGTGCTCCTCCAATCCCCTCAATGTCAGATCTCAGATTTATTGTGCATTCATAGAGCCCTTACTCTAGAGTGTATTCCTAATTGTCTCCTCTCCTCTTGTTTTAATGGTTTTGGCTGGTGTCAAAATTAATTGTGCGTTTTTTTGTATTGCTGAGCAATTTGGGGAAAAATTGGTTGGACCTCTGCATTCCAATTAGACTCTGGTTTTACTGGAACTTTTCTTATTCTTGAAACATTGTACGTCTTGTTAGATTTTGCTATGGTATGTTTTTCCTCTCAATGTCAAAATTTCGAAAAAATTTGGCTCTGAAGCAGCAAAATTTTCAACAATGGGCCAGTTGCGCTGTTTACAGAATTGTGTTTTGATGCTTGATTCTTCTAGATTAGCTAAAAATAAGAAGATCCGTCCAAACAGCAACTTTCTGCGTTGAATATTAACCGAGATATCGCTCCTTAAAAAACTCGATTTATGACATCATCCACCGCTGTAGTGCATAACATGGTATGTACTCCCAAGGTGGATGATGTCACAAATTGAGTTTTTCAAGGCCCAATATTTTGGTTAATATTCAATGTAGGAAATTGCTGTTTGGACAGATCTTATCATTTTTAGTTGATCTGAAAGAATAAAGCACCAAAATACGATTCTGTGACTAGTGCAACTAACCCATTATAGATTGTGCCTGCCTTCTCACTTATGGATCTGTGAGATTTTACAAGACCCAAAGCTATTGAACTATTTTGAATTGGAAATGTCTTTGAAAATTTTCGGTCGACAGACAAAAGCCATCAATTAAAAAGTAGTAAAACTTTAGTAATTTTGATGTGCGCCTCATTTGATGTTCTACTCTCCTGTGTCTTTTCTCTCCTAGATGTGACTCTCCACAATCTTGTACATATTTTATTGTGACAACTGATGAAACAAAATTGGTGCTGTCTTGATAGTGACTAGCCCTTGAAATTGTATGGCCTTTTCCTTTGTTTATACTTTGAATATTTTTCTTTGGTTGTTAATCTAATTTTGTACTTGCCTCTTAGTGATGGTGCCCAATGAGCATTGTAATTTGTGATAATAATTCGTTTTGACTATATTTGTGTCTGTGACTTTGAAGTTATGACAGCTTTTAAAAGCTGAAGGTGCGCAGGGATTCACTTTTAAAGTGAATTAGTTTATTGCTCCCTGGTAATTTTTTTAATGTTGAATTCTTCAGTTCAAAGTAACTCCTAGCAATCAAATTAAGTCCTTGATGTTTTCTGGTACTTTCATCGACAGAAAGTATTTATTTCATTGTGAGTGAATTTTTCTCTGTAATCAAAACGTTTCTTGTGATATTAGCCCTTTTTCGCTTTTATTTTTTTATTTGTTGATTTTATTTTTTATTACTGCCTGAGAAGGAACAGACAGATTTTCAGTTTCTTCTAAGTTCTGAGTATGAAAGAGGTGTAAAAATGAAAGCACTACCATCAATTTTAGAAAGAAATTGCTCTGGAAACTCCATGGAGGAATCTAGAAAATGGTGACCCAATGATTGAATATTTTTTATCATTTTCGGTTCCTATTTTTCTCGTTATTATTTAATGTAAGAATTTTGCAGGAATGCAAGCAAAACCAATGCGAGTTAGGAAGTCATGTTAAAAGAACTTCGTAGAATGTATAGAAACTTTGATGAGAAATAGAGGTACTGATTTATTGTCATGGTTTTAAGTTTCAGATTCTTGGATCTATCTAGTTTTTAGCTTTTGTGAAGTTCAGAATAATTTCACATGTGGATAAATCTACAGACAAGAATTTCTAAACCCCCTCCCCCCCTTGCAATAATTCTGTTTCACCTGAAGTATGAATTATTTTGGGAACATTGGACATTTTGCATTACCAAAATTTTATGGGGCATTACAAAATTACACATTTTGAATTTAAAAATCAAAGTTGCAAAATCCAAATCTATTTTACGTTGTTATAAGACTGGTATCAATATGCTATGTAAATTATTTATACTGATGTGCACTAAAATTTGCAGTAACCTTTGTCAAAAGTTAAAGGGGAAAGATTTAGGCCCTTCATGTTTGGTGTACTCGAAGCAGCAGAACTTTTTTGTTCTTGTGTCCAAAATCTGTAGACTGAATGACGTTATTTTATCCACTTTTTATATCTAGTCAAAATAAAATCATATCCAGAATTTCCTACATTAAACTCTCATTCTTTTTACATTAATCTCTTTCTGAAAGTAAAATTACAAGTGTCTCTAAACTCACTTCTCACTCAAGTCCTGACTGTGGCAAGACCACTGTATATTTGCTCATTAGCTGATTCCATTTGTAAACCTGCTGTGTCTTGTCGAATGAATTCAAGGTCTGAGCTGTGGCCGAAGTCTATTTTCAAAACAAGCAACTCTCGCAGTGCTAACAATATCCGTAATAGAATTACACACACATTCCAGTCCTTTTTAAGCGTGTCAGTAGGGCTCGCTCTCTTAAACGTTGAAAATGGGGGAGCAGACGAAATAAATGATTGAATGGTTTCCTTGCTTTTTCTGAAAATTTATAAAAAATTTCAAAGTTACTCTGAAGCACATGAACCGTTTATATTGTAAGACGGTTTCAGCGCTGAAAGCATGAGGTTGTTTTTCATGAATTTTATTATCAGAATAATATCATCTAAATTTGCACGTTTGTGGATTAATGCTTTGTGATCTTTCAATCAAATTGTGAAAAGTGTCTTTATTTATTTCTTTTTTTTTTTTATTGATCTCAGTATTTGAAAGTTGGAATTAACACTCAAATATAATTTGTATAATATTATCAATTGAGTTAATTATATGATTATCCAATGACTGCGTTATTCTGTACAATACAGTTTTTTCTTCTCAGTCAGCCACCTTCTATTTATTTCCAATCCTAAGAAATTAGCCAATTTATATACTCTTTTAAAAAAACATTAAATTTCCTGATGGGTAAGGGAGATAGGGAGGAGGGGGGTTGAATCGATGAGAACATAGCTATCAACTTAGAGCAATTCTGCCGTGCCAAGGAAGAACGCTGTATGAACATTCAAGAGTTGCCAAATTTCCTTTGATAAAATGTTTATTTTTTAGGAAAGTTATGAATATTTTTTCTTTAAATTTTCAGAATCGTTGGGTAAAATTAAGAACTAAATCATCTGAAAAATTGGGAGGAAAATATTCATAAATTTACCATAAAATTCGCGTTTTATCAAAGGAAATTTGGTAACACCTGAAGGTTCATGCGGCGTTTCCCATTAGCACGGCATAATTATCTATGAACATATTAACGATGAAACTCCCAATCCGATCCGATTTTAAGCCTTAAATTTCAGTTCTCACTTCCCAGTTTCAGTTTTCACCCCCTCATTGCCGGTTTTTACTTTCTAGGTACTCTCGGTTTTCAACTTCCACAGCAGGTTTTTAATTCCTATATCCGGTTTTCACTTTCCATTTGTGGTTTGCGTCTTAAACAGACCAACTGGATTTGCATGTTATTGCTGCCCCCGTGTTGTCCGAAATTCCCATTTTATCAGTGGCGAGGCGTTAATGATCGATTATCGATATTTCCCCATTTGAAGTTATGGTAGGTAAATAATCGATTATGAAAGTGCTCGTTGCGAATTACCCTATCTATCGATCCCCTGGTAAAAATTGGCAGTAGAATCTGTGTTCCAAAATTTCATAGACCTACAGCCGGCTGTAAGATTTCCAATAGCTCCTATAGCCGGCAACACAATTTCTTACAGCCTTTTATAGCCGATGGCGATTAAGCAACAGCCTGGCGATATAGTGTATGCTAAACGTTAGTAATTACGGATGCTAGGACTTAGTGAGTTTTTGGACTACCGCTCTCTTTTTGGGTCGTAGTATCTTGATTTATTTTGCGAGGAAAGCTCCGTTCTTTTGAAGGATGCCTGACATTCCTAAGATGTTGGAGCGCCTTCAATTTCTTATGATACTTTGCAATACCTCTGGTGTGAAATAGTTGATACAAGCGCCGTGGTACCGGCGCATTGCGTAATGCGTGAAGTATCCCTGCTAGGTTTGTAGGCGCCAGTGCGCCGCCGCTCCGCTTCGTGTTAGACTCTAATATTTACCTAATCTAGTGGAGTCAGCGTTTTTAAACTCATGACTTTGACTTTTTTTGGGGGGCTGGTTCAGTAGGGACGGAGGGGGGATGGGACTTAAAGCGTGGGATTAGCCCTTGTGGGCTATTTGAAGTAGTAAAAAAAAAAAAAAAAAAAAAAAAAAAAACTTTGAAATGTTTGCACACTCTGAATGGATTATTCTCGTTTTAGTTGATGAAAAAAAATATGTAGCAAAGGAAAATGTAATGTGCGTTTTGTAAATATTAAGGTGATTCCTTACAAACCTAAGGATTTAAGTAACAAAGCACACGAATTTCTACACAATTTCTTATAGCCTTTTATAGCCGATGGCGAAAAAGCAACAGCCAGGCGATAAAGTGTAAAGCCCGGCGATAGGAACTATAGTCCGGCTGTATAATTTTTTATCGCTTCGTGTAGCCCGGCCGTATGATTTTTCCCACTTTCTACAGCCAGCTATATGATTTTCTATCGCCTTCTTCAGTCGGCTGTAAGAACTCCAATGGTATTTTGAAACGCAGCTATAATATCGCCAATTTTTCCATAGATGTAGATGGCAGATCAATCGATTTATCACAAAGCATGCCACGCCATTGCATATTATATCTAACTTATTCCCTTGCACTGTCGTGATAGCGAAGAGAGCAGTAAGTGCAGAAATGAAGTTTCTGACCGGAAAATTTTATTGAAAGAA